AACTCCAGAGTTTCAGTTGCTTAATCAGCATCCATTTAATGCAGGTAAACATTGGCGGCGGCAAGGAAAAACCCTTCACTGAGGCACAAAATGATTATCTTCAAGAGTATTACCGTGAAGCAGGTAAAAAACACTTTTCCCTACCTTCAGACGCCTACCTCAAAGAAAATGATTTCAAAAAACTGGTAAAGAGTCTTCAGGAGGAAAAGAAGCCGACTGACAGAAAAGATGTGGATCTTCCCCTGATGCACAAAGCAATTACTATTGTTTTTCAACGAGCAAAAGGACTTTGCAGTGATGCTCCATCTTTGGTGGTTGCGGATTATGACATCTCTGAAACATTCAATCGGAACGAGATATTCACAACAGCCATGAAGAATATGAAGGATGATGAGAGAAACAAACTTTTCGAAGCGAAACCGGTATTCAAAGAAAGTGAATGCCGTGGCATCTTTTTGTCTTACCGAGGTAAATCGAAGGTATTCAACATATTCCTCCGGGTCAATACATCTCCTTCAGAAGAAAAAAAGCTTGAGGTGTATTCACGCATTACTGATTCAATTAAAAGGTGCTATTATGACAGAACTGTGTTCCAGACATTGTGCGACCTAGATGACACTGCAATGATTTTCACGTTTCCCGCCTTTCCATTTATTGATAGGAGTGATATGAGCAACTTCTTGAAATGTGAGTCGTGTCCTAAGAGGATTTTGACAAAAGACGATATCTGTAGTAAAGCAGCCTTTCAACAGTTTCTGGAAGAAAATGGAGTGAAAGAACACCCTGACCCCAATGCGAAGGGCGATTGCAAGGTATTCCATGACATATTTTCCCTATATGTATGCGCATTTTCCTGTATTGGAATGCCGCGGAATCGGCAGGAGCATTTTGAAAGAGCTGGTGCCAGAATGAAGGAACTATTGCAGTTTTTGACACCACAGCAGAAAGAGATCATCGATAGCTATTCGGATAGCTATTCGGGGAACCTCAGAAAGAAATCATCATGGCTTCTCCCCATGACAGGAGGGTCCGGAACTGGAAAGACTATTATTGTGAAGAAGATAGCGAAGCGATTTGCAGAAAGAGATGAAGTACTATTAGTGAACCTAGCAGGTGGAGAGCTCACGGAGCGCTTCCAAGGAGAATTCCAAGGTGAGTATGAATCATCCACTTAAAAGGTAAGTAAAAGTTACATATAGGTGATTAATGAAAAATGCCCGACCGTTTTCTATCGGAATAACACGACTTCATAAGTGCACGGCTTCATACATTGGCTATACAATTGACATTGGACAGTTACAAGGTGTCGAAATGCATGTCAATTTTTTTCAGCACCCTCTTCTAAGCCTCACAATTCCCATTAATGCATTTAAGAGGTAGATTATTCCACCTTACGTGAAGTGATGATCTTTGCTTAACCATCTCAGAATTCAATTAAATTTAGCAAACGTTCGGATTACTTTGGGAATAGCCAAAAAATAATGTTGGTCTGTACAAGCGGAGACCGAGAAAGTAGAGTTTTAATTTAGTTATGGGGGCGCACCAAGGCCCCCAACCCACAGATGCTACATTCCCAACTACAAGGTCATTATCGAGTTAGCACCCTATTTTGATTAGCCATAACTTTTCAAGGGACAGCTGATACCTGACAGGAAATGAGTTTACTAGATTTTCCGAAATGCAGCAAGATGGCATTTCATGTCGACAAAGGGCACTGTAGTCGACCACAGCGCCTCCTTTCTATGTTCCATTCCCCTTCCTGGGTAGGAAAAAAGCCTCATGAGCTCATGAGCTTCTTAACCCAAAATTAATTCAAAAGATAAGATGGCGATTAATAACTTGTCTCCTTGAAACTCATCAATTTGCACTGTTATATGATGGCTATCGTCACTAGTTACAAAGTTTTTACTTCTGCCTAAAATGTCGTGGCCACCCTGTATTTTGTGAAAATTCAACATAGAATCAACTTGGATGCAAGGATGCAAAGAGGTCAGTGGCGTTCAGCTTCTGTGGTGAACTGATCAAGCATGATCTCTAGCCTCGCTACCTGGGTATCACACTGGACCGGACTCTAACCTAGCAAAATTACCTCAAACAGGTGAGCAACAAAACGAAGAGCCGCATCAGCATCATCCACAAGCTAGCTGAAACAAGATGCCATACCCGAACCATCCGAACAGCGACTATGGCTTTGGTGTACTCCATGGCCGCGTACTCACCAGTGTGGGCCTGAAGCTCGCACACCCACCTGGTCGACACGCAGCTCCACGCACCCATGCGCGCTATCAGCGAAACCGTCAAATCGACCCCACTGCCTTGGCTTCCCGTACTCGCCAACATCGCTCCGCCACCCATCAGGCGCGATGAGGCAACACTACGAGAGTACAACAAAGCACTCTCAAACGCATTGATTCCACTCAACGACGACATCAGCCGACCACCACGCGCACGCCTTAAGTTCTGCAGATCATTCTGGCCTGCAGGTGAAGCACTCCAGTCCACCAGCACCGGACCAGATGAACATTGGAGAACACTATGGAACGACGCTCAGGCAAAGAACAAGAGCCCCATCTTTGACCCTACATCCGAGCCTCATGGTTTCTTGCTTCGACGCAAACATTGGAGCGCCATTAACCGTATTAGAACTTCACACGGTAAATGTACAGATGTTTTCCACAAATGGCGGATTAAAGATTCACCACTACAATGTTTTCGGATTGAATTGGTCCCCCTCCTAGGAGCGCCTCCATCAAGTACAGGCAGGACACCTTGCGGATGGAAGGTGAAGTATTAATTGATCCATCCAGCAACCATGGGGAGCAGCAGGCTTGACATCTACAGGCTCGTCTGGAAAGCTTTGTTTTCTCCGTTCTCCACAGTAGGGGGGTACCAATTCAATCCGAAAACAGTATGTTAATGTGGCGAAATTCAAACCATGGAGCATATGGTCAACGACTGCCACATGTACTCCTTCTGTGGTGGTACTGCAGAATTACATCATCCAACACCAGAAGCCATCAACTGGATCTCAACACTCCCAATTATCTTATCATTTATTTATCAAAATATTACCATTCAAAGTTGATATTTTCCATACGACAGAAGAAGCACATCTTTCCTGTAGGTCAATTTCTGGCCAACCGCGCTGGTCAATCCCATGCTTCAGCATCCACCCAACTCATTGGACTTTGCTCCCTGTGATTTCTTCTCTTTCGATAAAGCTAATAGGTGCGCAGAACGGAATGAGATTTGAATGAGAGAAGAACATTATCAAACCCTACTAAATCACGAATCCACGGTGGAGGACAAAACCATCTAGTCCATCTCTCAGCACCCAATGAGAGACAACCTCGCTGATCCACCGTTCATCAAAGTAGTCCAACGGGCCTTGAAACAGATGAAGAACAAAAAAGCATCTGGTCCTGATGGCTTCCCGGCCGAAATCTTCTAAGCCGGAAGAGAACCACTGACCCGCAAGCTTTACGGGCTATCCTTGGAATCTGGAACGATGAGGAAATCCCTGCTGACCTCAGAAATGCGACAATCATCACCATCTTCAAGAACAGAGATGAGTCGGTTTGTGGATATTATCATGGCATCGCCCTGCTCTCCAGTGCTGGGAAGATCCTTGCCCGAATTCTGCTGAACTGACTCCTCCCTCTTGCTGAAGAAGTCCTCCCGAAATAACAGTGCGGCTTCAGACCATCACGAGACACCATCAGGCACACTTCAGGCCATCGGCGGAGCCACCAACCCCGTGGAAGACATCATCCTCGACCTCGAGGGATCGCCGACGACGAGGTGCTCTGAAAGGAATGAGATTTCAGGACTATCAAAGCAGCATTGCAACGGAGACAAGCTGCTGGCAGTTCCAAAATATGAGTACCAACAATGCTCCCAGCGAGTGAAGAAATGCTGGAGAATTTGTGTTGATGCCAAAGATGAAGGGCTACTTCGAAAGAGAGCCATCAGTGACTGGAAATAGCATAGTTCCATTAAAAATTCAGTCCCGGAACTTTTTTTAAATCGGACTTCTTATTGCTAATGATGACCCGATTTAGGGAGCGCATGATGACCTCAACAAAAACACGAATGCATGCTTTATTCTCCGTCCAGTTAGGGGGGATCGGTGATGCATCATACAGCGAAACCTGTGTGATACGGCCACAAGGGAGATTTTTTTAATTCAGTCGGTTCTGACAGGTGGCCAGTATGAAAAGGGAATTTCTTTCCGGTTTTTCCTCTAGACAAACTTAGAGGTACTTGGCAGTCAATTTTCCAAGAAAATCAAACACGCAGTATCCTCCAAAGGAATTGTGGTTTGATTTTCTTGGAATTTATTTATTTTATATACACCGAGAGTAATTTGAAGATCCTGCCTTCATTGTCAGGAGGTCTTTAATGTTTGCTTGACGCGCGCGCATTTTGCATAAGCACACTCGCTCCTGCAGAGACGCTTTGAACTTCTTGATCAAGTCAACTGACTCTCGCCTTCATCCCCTTTCTCTGCCAAATGGCACTTGAGCTTCTCCATGGCGCTAAATGGCCTTAAAGAAAGGTAGTAAGATACACGGAACAACTAGGTCAACATTCGGATGATCGTTTTCACACTATTGAAACTCCAAAGATGTGACCATGACAACCAAGCAAAGGGTCAATTCGGGGATTAGGGAGGGGGAGTGGAAAAGGAAGAGAGAGGGAGGAAAGGTGGGAGACTAGAAGACAGGGAAATGAAGAGGAAGAAAATCTACTTGCAATCCTTCTTCCTGTATTCTGGCCAGATTAAATAGTGGCCGGCATAGAGAGGGTCTGCAAATCCTCGGCCGTTGGCCGCGTTAGACAGGTGGCCGTATAAAACAGGTTATTTCAACATTGAGCCTATAGAGCTAACGTTTGGGACTGAGCATTTATGGCGGCAAATGGGAGGTGGCCATAATATCAAGGTGGTCGAATCCACAGGTTTCACTGTATGAGACATTTGAAATGCTGGAGCCTTCAGCATTACACATTTTCGCGAGAATTTTGGAATGGCAAGTCATTGCAGATTCTATGACTATTTCCTTGTCTTTCTTGCATCGCTTCGTTTAGCATTGCACAGTCCTCAAGCTCTATGATGCAAAGTGCGTAATGCCAAGTACTATGGAATATATCATTACACGTTTTAAGAGGACAGGGAATGTCCCATATTTCAATTTAATATGGTGGTTTGGAAATAGCCTTTGGCGTTTGCCTTGTTTATCAAGCACCTTCATCAAAATGGACTTCAGGCCACATCTTTGCAGTGCCTCGTGAACCAATGAATTCCGTGCAGAATATCTACATAACTAACATCGACACACTAATGCTGATAGAAATAAAATCGACATATAAATACTTCGACAGAAATAGAACGATCAAGTCTGGAATAGGAACATCACGGAATTAGAATTTACCAAGTGTTGAGAATGTGTCCGATTCAAAGATAAGCTGAGAGTGCTGGAGGGGAAAATTTTAAAATACTTTTGTATAATTTCAGGAAAAAGGGAAAAAATCACGGTGATGGATGGAGTTCATGAGAAGATTGCGGAGAACCTTCAAGGGATACGTGATTTCCTTGATAAAAACGGAAAGGATAAGCATGTTCTGTTTGACGAGGTCCCTCTCACTCTGGGATTTCAGGGTACCCTTGATGAGAAGGGGCTCACAGATCACTGGAAGAAAATCTCCAATTTCAAAAGTTTAGTGAAAAGCCTTACACTTGCATTCCGCCCGAATGATGAAACTTATACGACGGAAATTGATCTAAAAAATGTCAAGATCGCAGGTGTCGATTTGAAGATCTTGCATGATGTGAAAAGAAACACAAGGTTTGTGTCCGACTTATTCCTGGCCCTTGGCAACTACGTGCGGAGGATTTTTTTATGCGAAGAACCGAGTCTTCGAGGCATGAAATTCCCCGAACGTGTTGAATGTGAGAAAGTGGAACCCAGTATATCACCCATCCTTTCATGTTCCACACTTCATGATAACTGCCAAAGCAATTCCTGTTGGGCAGTCAGATCTTCCCATGTCTTGCTATCAATGGTCGGAAAAAATGAAGAAGCAAAGGAAGACACTACGAAACAACTGCAGCCATTATATGTTATTGTTGACACCAAGGAAAGAAGAAACAGGCTGGTGAATACCATAAGCAATGTATTTGGGCGTGAAGTCGGATTTGTGGATTCCCTTGGAAGATTGTGCGGTTCATCGTCCAACTCCATTGTAGTTGTGGCTTCTGATCAGATTCTAGGATGGCATTCAATGGAGAAAATTGTCATCCTGGATCTTCTTGAGAGTAAATGGAAGAACTACCTTCGTATCATGTATTCATGCCACAAGAACATCGTCATTGCCGTTGATGGTGTTTCACAAATAGGAAAGTATTCCGAATTCTATAAGAAGATATTTAATGAACCGGAAATTGAAGATAACAAAAAGGAGGAGCTGTTGAAGAAACTAGAGAGTGTTGAGAACATCCAGGGCATGGGAGAATTGAATGAAACAAAATGGGATGTTAATCCCTTAATTGAGGAGAATGCGGATGAACCTCACGACGAACATGAAAATGTTCCCCAAAGCAAGTTGACAGTCATTTTCGGCCCCCCATGCTCAGGAAAGAGTAAGGAGTTGTTGAAAATGCTGAAAAACTTGATAAAACCTACTGAAATGAAATTTAAATATGGAATCCTTTTGATTAATATGGGAAGCACTCTTAGTCGGAAAGTCTCGCTGGACAAACTTGGGTGCAATTATTTAAATATGCTTGACATTCACTTCAGGAAAGGATTGTCAGCCATAGACATAGTGAATTACGATCGCATCAACGAAGTGCGAATGAGATTTAACTGTACCAAGACCCATGTTTTCGTAGATGATTATTGCATCCTGGCCACTGACACGGCAGAAGAGAAAAAGAATTGGAATGACGCGCTTGCAGACTTGAATAAGGGAGAAGGAAATCTCATCCTAACTGTTGTGTTCCAACCTCACTCGAAAGAGGGTAGAAATATTTCCATGGAAGATTTGGCTTCTTTTTTTCGCGAACTGAAGGTTAATGTCATCGAGCTCCCTAAGTCGCAGCATTATACTGGCTTTACAAACCCAGAACTACTTAAATACATCTGTAAGAATGAGACCAACAAACAAGTTTCCCTGAATATTAAAAGCCTTTATACAGCTTCTCGCCCAGGTGCGTTTGAGCACGGCCCGAAACCCCAGCGTGTTAATATGGACTACATTTGCCGTGGAAATCATCAGGGTAATCGATGCAAGAGAGACTTGTGTATGCGTTACATTGCTGCCTTCACATGCTTTCGCTACCTACTGAAAACGATTGAAGACCCAGTGCCCGTACTGATGTCAGATGAAGATCTAAAGCAGTTCCTATCTGAATACAGCAAAAAAGAGGGCAAAAAGTTTCATTTCATTCACCCCAAAAATTTTCGAGGATGTGAATCCAGTAGTTCCATCACTGTTAACGTAGAGGATTCCTGGCTTCTGGAGAGTTTATCCAGAGCTCAAACGAATCTCCACATCATTGATTTCTTACCGAATCATCAAGACGTTTGGCGCACCATGCTTGAAGAGGAAAAGGTGGAACAGGAAGAGGTGACAGAGGAGGACCCCATTCCAATTGAAATCATTCAAAGGCTGAATGAGTTTGGAAAATTCCATGTTGTGAGTATCTCAACCTTCTTTCCTCTATCATGCTTGCTTTTTTGTGTGGGTCAAACAATATGATGTGTCTTAGTAAGTCGGAAGATTATGGGGGCATATCCCTCTAGCAGGCTTGACGGCTATGTTTGAATATTTAGTCCATTGAAAACCTGTGGGTAGTAGCGTTGTGCCAGGATCATGCACCTTCCTTAATTAATTCAGTCTTCATTCCCATCTTATTTTCCACTCGAAGTGATCAGGAAAGATGTGTTCACATCATCCAGAACGCAGCTATACAATTGGGTTTAACATCTGTAAAACAGACTTCAATCTGAACTGAAACATGAAATAATGGAACATGGAATACAGGTTACATCCCAAGGCAAATCAATTGGCGCCGAACAGCATGTGAAAGACAGTTTCTGACGTTTCTGCCGCGCCGTCGACATACTCACCGAGTATGTCGACGAAATGGTGAGTACTAGTTGAGCCTGCCGAGTATTTGCAGCATGGTGTGGCGCGCGGCGTGCGTCCGCCGAACGGGATACCATACTGCAAATCACTCTGCCGCAGCTGCAGGGCATATTCCGCGGCATGTAGGTGAAATAGTATCTGCCTACCGCCTTCCCTCGACCTTGCTTATCCCAGACTCACCCCACTTCACCTGTTAATCAAAGATACAACGAAGCTCGGTCTCAATCTTTCATTAAAGTTCTCAGGCCTTCCAATGCAAGTGAGCCGAAATTCTCCATCAGGTGGAACAAGTAAAGCATAGCATGATTTGCCGAAGTGCATGAAAGCATAAGGAAGCACCTACAAGTAAGATTTCCTATAGTTACCATTTTTGCTTCCCTTTCAGGCTGTATCATGTGAGCTCAGCGGTTTACTGCATTTCCTGAATAATCCCGCCTCTGAATAAATTTACCGAAAAAGACCTACAACCAGTCGAACGTTACAAGTTCTCTGTTAATTGGACAATGAGAGACTGAATTGGCTTGCGATTGGCCAAACGTCACACGTCCTCAACGAGGTGTCTCGAAGACCAGGGACTAGTCATTATATTCCAAACTGTTCCGTAGGTCGAGGATAGAGTTTCTTTTGATTGAAAAAAGGTAAGTCTAAATTTGACCCGAAGACAGTCCGCCGGTTTGGCATAGGCCTAACGTTAGTGAGTTCCGTAGAGAAGGGGGGGAAGCTGGGGAGGGGTAGGTAGGGGAGAGGGGGGGTGAGGTTAAGGTTGAGTTTGGGGTTAAAGAAAAGAAAAACCTTTGAAAATTGGTTCTCAGATCATTAAATTCCAATCATTTAAAGGACTGGATGATGCGTGGCTGGAACACGACTTCCTCAACTCTGAGGCGCAGGCATCCGATAGTAAGAGTTCCTGCTTTAACCTTTTTATCCTCCTAGGGAACAATATATCGTCGTTTTCAGCCTACGAATCGGCAGCGAGGCGCTATAAGGGTTAAGGTAACAAGACCCATTTAAAACCAACTTGACGAGTTCCAGTGGTGTAATCAACTCTATCAGGTTGGAGGCCTCGAGAAACTATTTCTATTTCATTCACAAATTCCAGAAATCAGCTAATTAGGTGTCAATATGGCAGCCGTGAGTGAAAAAGGTTCCAACATTTCGAGAACGATACATTAGAAATCCTTGAATGTAAATGGATTAAATTCACAAACACACTGAATGAAATAATAAAACTTAGGATGATGGAGCAATGTGATGGAAAACTCTCAGAAGATAAATATTCGACCAATATAACTTTTTTCTTCTTCATTTTCACCTGTTCATTACGTATCAATATGCTAAATATACAAATTGCGTCAATAATATTGGGAAATGCTCCCGTTATTCCACGACCACCGAGAAACAAATAAATATTAGGCAAAAAATCATATGGATATCTGGTCCTGATATGGTCATAAGATTAAGAGCTTAAGAGCCTTGTACTTATAGCGAAAATGGATTTTCGGGAAAACAAGAGCAGTGAATCAGCGCCCTGAGCCATCCGCAAAGGTCATAGAAAACTACGGAACCTACTGACTCCGTGGAATGAGGCACCTCATGGTGGAAAATCTTTTCAGATCAGTCAGAAATCACCATCGGCAGTATATTGCTCTCTGCTCAATTTTTTTTTTTATACATTAACAATTCCGTCGCTCGACTGTTGCTCCGTGTGTCCTGAGATGTTGACCGGCCTCATCTCTATCATGGACCAATCACATTGCGTCCTAAAATCTCTATATGGTAGCTTTTTAAAATTGAGGTAGCGTTGCCCATCCCATTGTTAGCAGATTGTTCCGCGTGTGGGGTCTTATCTGCGACGATTGCGACAGTAAAGCAAATTAAATTGCCTCGTGTGCAGTGGGCTTTAACACGTTCGCGACAATGCGTCCTGATGCCAGGATGCAGATTTTTTTGCAAAAAAAAAATGTTTTCTGGGACCATGAGTCCTGATGGCAGGACGAATTTTTTGAAAAAAAAAATGCGCGTGGTCACACGCGGCGGACAAGCAAAAATAGGCTGGTCGTCAACGTGTTAAGGACAACAAGAATGGATGGAAGAATCGGTCGGGTCGAAGGAGGGAATGGGATAAGAGGCACTTTGAGCTGGAAACTTTTGCCAAGAGGTAGGTGCGGGGAGGTTGATCGAAAGAAGCTCAGTACAAGGAAAGGGTGTGAAGTAGCGGCAGGTGCCGCCACTTCACACCCTTTGTATTCTACTCCTTGTACTGAACTCTCCATCAAGAATGCCGCCTTGAGCGAGGCAATGGGTTCGAGTTGAGAGAGAGTGGGGGCGAGGATCCGTATCCCGTCATAATATCGAAAACACACGTGTCGACTGTCCAATTGTCGAATACCAACTACGTCGAATTCCTGGACGTCGAAGGAATGAAATGTTCAAAGTCAAAATGTCGAAAGAGAGAAAAATCGAAGTGGACTTTTATCTATTACGTCAATAAAAACGTAAAAACTCCTCATGTCGAACACGGGAAAAGTACACTAGGTACATAAAGAAAAACAAACTAATTGCGGTTATAAATGTGATAACCTTTGACATACGGCATTAAAAACTGAACATTATGATCCACTGCACGCAAGTAATCACGGACTTCGCAGTCGGAATAGGCAGAAACAATTTGATGAATGCGATTTTCCCTTGATTCATCTCTTTTCTTCAGCTTTCGTGTGGGATACCCTGACAATGTTATTTTCAACTTTCGCACTTGAAAACATTCCTCTTTCTGCAATTTGCATTAGTGAGGAAGTGCGCTTGTTACTAATGTAATCAAATCCGCCAACGCTTGCTGATGCAGACATATGGTAAGTTGACAAAGCAGCCTTCACTGCCTCAAAGAAGCAGAGAATCTCCTCTCCTTAATTATATCAGGACCCAAGGAACGGAAAAAAATAACCGGATTGCGACATCTTCAGAAATCGACGTTTTTCCACATTTTGACGCCTTCGGCATTGAAACAATCAACATTAAGCCCATTCGACGATTGTCCATTCCACATTGAGTGGCATTCGACGTTTTGTCGACGCTAGTCGACATAAAATCTGACGACATTATGGCTTTCGACATGGACGCAATGTTATAGAACCCGAGGATCGACTTTTCCCTCGCAACCTTTTCCAGGCATGATTTAAGCATGGAGAGAGATGAGAGAGGGCATAGCCTTGAAAAAGTTGCGTACGATCCTATGGTAATGGCCTCCATTTCTGTACACTTAGAAGTTTAATTGCTGGGTTAAAATGAAAAAATGATATCTCTAGTATTTGGGAATGAGAATGAAATGGAGAGAGAGGTGGCAAAGAGTAAAATGCACATAGAGGGTTAATTAGGAGGATCTCTTAACTGGGGTCAAGGGTAAGAGGTCAGGCGTTACACCTAGGGGCCATGCACATACCACGACATCCATATGTCGGCTCACAGAGATCTCTTCCCTCATGTACAGGAAAGTCCTACGGCCAGGCCCTTCACCGCGTACTGTTCTGGGTGGGCCGTTACTGCAGGAACATAAAAATTGATGCCCTGGTTCGGAGTCCCATTTTATTGGGTTGTTAAGAAAGTCTTCGGAGTTTTTTGTTTTTGTTCATTCCATCTTCATAATGAAAACAAGATCAATTCACAATGTAAGCACCATCGTTGTCCACAACCTTCCTCCACATTTCGGGCAGGGAGTGGATGCCCTCTCTGCAGAACGCTGGGGGCTTGACCTCAAAGAAGTGCTTGAGGTTAGTTTCCAGCGCCTTCTGAGTATCAAAGTGCTTCCCCTGCAGGTGGTTCTGGAGGGAGTGGAAGAGGTGATAGTCTGAGAATGCCAAGTCGGGGAAGTACAGTGGGTGAGGTAGGATTTCCCACCCGAGCTGAAGGACCTTGAGACAGGTCGACTTCGCAGTATGGGTCGGGCGTTGTCGTGAAGGAAGAAGATTTTGTCGTACTGTCGTACTGTAGCGTCGCTTCGAGTTTCAGCTTCAAACGCTACAGCGGGGAGCAGTAGTTGTCGGCAGTGATAGTGGTGTTGGGCGGCAGCAGTTCCCAGTGCACGATGCCGAGGACTTCCCACCACACGCTCAACATCACCTTCCGTTGGTGAAGGTCAGGTTTCGGATCTGGCTGTGCCTCTTCGGGCAGCGTCGAGTCACTGGCGCTTCCGGGTGTGAGTGATGTAGAGACACCACTTCTCATCCCCAGTCACAACGTGGTCAAGCCAGTCGAAGCTGCTCCTCCGCGAGAGGAGATGGGTGCAGGCCTCAGACCGAGCGTCGAGGTCCCTCTGGGTCAGAGTGTGGGGCACCCAACTTCCCATCTTGAGAACCTTGGCGATAGAGTGAAAATGATTGTCGATGGCAGCGTTGGAGCAGTGGGGGGTTGGGGCCAGACTGCGCGTGGTTGTTCTCAGGTCGGCCTCCACTAGACTGCGCACAGCGTCCAAGTCCACCTCGGAGGGACGTCCCTCAAGATTCTCGAGGCTCCCATCGTCGGAGCGGAAGCGATTGTACCAGTAGTGGCAGGTGTTGAGGGAGGGGGCGTCATGGCCTTCCGTCTGGCACAGATGACGATGCGCCTGATTAGCTTAGACGCACTGGTCGAAGTCGAAGAGCAGGCAGTGTCGGATGTGCACACGTTTTTCTTCCATTTTCTCTGTCCAGAGCTCACAGGGGATAGAGTGATAACTATGAGAAGGTGCATTACTGAGCCCTTTATATACACGCTTAATTTCGAGACTTTTACAAAATAACGAAGGGCATGGCCAAATTTCGAAAAAGACTCCAAAGACTTTCTTAACAAGCCAATATAATTTTTGTAAGTGACCTTCAGAAAGTGCCTTGTAGCCAAATACTGGCTCTCTCAGGTCACGTCTGGGGTCATGATTTGAGGTGATGAGTCACGTTTTACATACTTCTCTTTCAAAAACTGTATATTCTCAACCCTTGGTTGCATAAGCGGCGAATTTGCACCATTCCCTTTGAGACACAGCAATCTAAATGGCGATTGCAAATATGTGTATGTAACTGTCGTTATTGAGATGCCATGACGCCATACTTCATTTTTAAGCTGTTGCTTTCTTTCCCGCACTTTTTTTCAATCCATGCTCTTAAGCCGGCAAATACCATGCAATATTAGGTTAACATAAGCACAAATATGTACATATTTAACCATTTAAAAACGAAACTAACTGTGGCAACTTTTCATTTGATCCGCCCATGTAAATATGTAGGCTATAAATTCGTGTCTTTCCCGATTAATCAATGATGACATTTTGGAATGGTATAAGTCAGGTCCTCAATAGTAACATTGAAACAACATTGATTCAATGTTGTTTCAACATCCGCATGTGGGATCAACGTTGAATCAAAGTTGTTTCAATGTTATGTGCTACTTGTGGCGCATGAATACCCAAAACCTGAC